AGATGACGCTTGGCCACAGAGACGTTTCGGTGGCCCTTTCATGCGCTCTGGGCCAAACAGTCACCCTGATAATTACAGCCCAGTGCTGTTTTTTCTTTCTATATTGCACCGACAAAGTTACACCCACAACTCTTACCCCACTCTCCCATCATCCCAAACTCCCTACCCCCAACAGAGCCTTTTCGCCCTTCAATCTAAAGGGCCCTGCACTAACCACGAATTCCAAAGCCAAACACAGTCGTACACACACACACACACGCGCAAACACAGAAGACAAAGATCCCAAGTGTGCCTTACACGGAGCGTTGGGGTTATGAAAGCCAGCAACGGTGCACGAGGAAGGAGGGTGCCGTGCACTGCACGAAATACTAATTTAATGCTGAGTCGACCTAGGGGAGGGCCACGAGCAGTTTATGTATCACTTTCCACCCACCAGGTACTGTAGGTTGATTAAATTACTGCACGCAAAGGTTTACATAGAGCAGTGGATAGATCATGGCTGATAATGTAACATTTTCGGAAGTGGCCTAAAAGGACAGACTCAACGTGCTGTACTACAATTTAACAATTACAAAGGACGTTCAGTATATGAGTTTCTATTATCTATGAAGCTATCGTCCAAACAATGGACACTTTCGAAATGTAGCGCTTGACTCGTCGATTTTTTGTTATTTCAAAGCGACGTTTCTGACCATGACCGTGTGGGCAGCCCATGCAACAATAAGTGTGGTGTTGGTGGTCTATGGCATTCACGGAGGCCCTCCTGTCTGTTGTGCACGCTCCCGTCGCCGAAATGGATATATCATGTGTGCAATCCTTAGTCACTCCACTGCTGGATGAAGGCCGTTTCGCGCGTGGAATTTTTTTCAAGGACGTCGGTGCGGTTTGGGAAACGGGAAAGGGGGTTTCAAATGGACTAAGTTCAGATGTCACTCGCCAATAATGTTAGCCGTGGAATCAAACGTGCCTTCATAGCGCCGCAGTGTGCTAACTATATGTTATTATATTATACTGTGTAGAGACCTATAACTTATCACGAGAAAAGGGAACAGTTGACGCCGTACAATGGCCATGTGAACCACATTACACGAACGAGGATTGCAATCAGGAGGACTCAAAAATAAACTAAAAGCGGTATTTGATTTTAACAACGATTGCGATTCCCTTGTACGTTCATGGAATCGTGGGGATGTGAACTAAGTTCAGATGGGCGATGCCACGCGCATCAGGAAACTTAATGGGCGAAGTAGAACCAGGAGCAGAATGTTCAACAAAGTTCCTTCTTCTGGAGAGAAAAAAAAATCCCCGGACATAATCCGCTCGCTTCAATTACCGAAGCCCCTATTATTATGCCACGAACCGTTTACATTCCGTGGCAAGCAGAGTCACTGATGACAGAGATACCGAGCCTGCATTTAAAAAAAAAATCCCACTCTAACCGATGACCAAAGCACACGGAATGTAGGGACCATATTTTGTCAGATGTCAGAAGCTAAGCAGGGATTTTGAGCCTGGCTAGAACTTGGAGGAGGGGGGGGACCAATCGTGCACGCGGACAAGCGGTCGCAGGCTTGCGGGTGGCTACGCTGTGGGCAGCAGAGGGCAGTGCAGCCAAATCAAATGTTGTGTTCTACTTCTGTGCTGTTGCGTCGTGCGGTACTCTACAGTACCCGCTTGTCTACTTTCACCGACCCTCAACTGACCAGCGTGGTGAAGTATGCCTTCCACAGACAGCGTGCGGGAGGCCCTCATCCAGCAGTGGATTGACAAAAGAGCTGTACGTGCCAGATGTACACGAGAGCCCAGCCAGACCAGCGAGAGCCCAAACACCGTCGATCCAAAGCATGCGCGCTTACTTAATGCCCCGTTACCATCATCATTACGAATGCCTGGGGTATGTGGCGTAATGTGGCCACGAAACGACACGCACGGCGAAGTGCGATCGTCAAACATGCGCGTACAAACTCGAAACGTGAAGCAGCACAGCACCCACGATCAACAACAGCCCCGGCGCTTACCGGGGTCCCGAGTCGCAGCAGTAGCAGCAGGAACAAGACGCTGCCGCTGGCGACGGCTGTGGTGGTTGCAGCTGCTGCTGCTGCTGCTGCAAGCCCCTGCTTCATTGTGGCAACTCAGTGTGGCTCCAGCCGACTTGCGTGATGCAGGAGCCGAAGAAGCCTCTCCTGCTCCACTCCCACTCAACTGTGTCCTCAGCTGACCAGGTGCACGCGGGCACAGCGATGGACTGCAGCAGATAATGGCACAGCGATCGTCGTGAGAGGGTGGTGGTGGTGGTGGTGCACGGGGCGATGATGATGATGAAGCCTCTACAGCGGGCAGCGATGAAGAGAGGTAGGATGAGCAGGAGGAGCAAGGTGGTGACTGTGAGTAGTGAGTGTGGACGGAGCGCTGTGAGTTGCGCTATGAGGAGGAGGATGAGGAGGAGGAGGTGCCGGAGGCTGTGTGAGGATTGCGCGGCGCGCCTCGAGATGCGGGCAGCTCCCAGAGTCTCTGCTGGGAGCTCCGAGTCGCGCTCCTACAAATCCCTCGCGCCTCTCGCCGCTGATTGGCTGGAAGCCCCGGCCCGCAAGCCCATTGGCTGGTTTTTTTGGGTTGTAATTCATGCTTGTGGGGTTTTTTTCTTCTTCTGAATTCTTCATGAGTATGGCTTTGTGTCGTCATCATCAACATGACATCATCATCCGCCACGGTTAATCCACTGCTGGATGAATGCTGCAATAATACACTTAGAAATAATACACTTAGCACCTGCGCACGAAATTTTCTAATCGCTCCATCTCCTCTGTAGACGTCCTCTTTGACGCGTGACATTCCTTGGCTGCCTCTCCGTTATCAATATTATTCTTGGACCATCGTCCACCATCCCTTAGAGCCGTGACGTGTCCTGCCCTGGCCCACTCACTTTTCTGAATAGTTTTGATTATATCATTATGAGCTGAGTATATGCTCTCCAACCCATGTGTTCACTTTGCTGTCGTTCAATTTACTGTAATTCTAAACACGTATCCTTCCATACTTGTTTGCGCATTTTTCCGTTTTTGTTCTAATTAAGTTGCGGCAATGACCGTTTTCCTTCGAATAGCAACTCGCAAGTTCTCTGTCGAGGACTCGATATCTGATAGCCACGTGACAACATGGAAGCAAACTGAATGGTTTGTCTTCAATGCCTTCGTTGGGTATCAACCGAGGTTCACAAAGGTTAACAATGTGGTCGGCGGACTGCTCAGGCTTTCCACGGGCTTTCTCACTGAAGAGCAACAGCAACAATAATTAGAACGCCAATTACATCAGCGAGACCTGCGCGTCCCTGAGTGTCAGTATTCACGGTGACGAGGCTACGCGAGCCGTCCTGACAATGACGCTAATGCATTGCACGGGGCAGCATCATCGACAACATCAATACGCGTGATCGCATCGGGACGGGCCATTAACGTCAACATCGACCGCTAACCATGTCCACCCTGTACACTGGTATATGTGTGTGGGCAGTGCAAACATATCTTGTTTTTGGTCGGTAATGTTTTTTTTCTTACCGACTGATTTTCTTGTTGTCGTTGACCTGGAAATATCGCCTCGTTTTGTGATACGTAATTTTATTTGTTCCGGCGTTTCGAGGTGTATACTGTCAATGATAATAATAATATGAATATACGATGATAACCTGGATGGCCTTTGGCAATCCACAGCTGGATGAGGAGGGCTTGCCCACGCCTTGCGGGTCGTGAAAGTGACCATCACGCTGCGCTTTGGTCTGTGCGCGTCGCTATACACAACCGAAAACACAAACCGGCTATTATCTTGCAGATCCACGTTCAGAAAACGCGCGTTGAGAGCATTTGGATAAATTTCGATTTAAAGCTTTCGTGACTGCAGGGATTCATCTTCTTGGTTCTTTCGGTAAAGTCACGTAGAATGGAAATAATAAAATAATAAAAATAAAACATAATTAAATAATTCTCACGACGTTTCGGCCACAACGCAAGCAGCCGTGACTTTACCGAAAGAACCAAGAACCATTTGGCTACTCTAGATTTCCACGTATAATCCACGTCCTTGAGCTATCGTTTGTGATAGCCAGGCCGCTTCTGACAACGATCTATACAGCTCGGTCGGCCTTACCTGGTAAAATAAAAAGTTTCGTTTTGAACAAGGTAAGGTTGGCTGATGCCCCCCTACCAAGGTCTGCACATATGAGGCCCACCACTTTGAAACGGCTTCCCAAACTATACATATACGTGTCTCCGCCGTCACTAACAGGCATCTACAGCCGCACTAATCGGCTTACCAGAGGGTGATTGTTGTCGTTGACCTGGCAACACCACCGCGTTTGTAATTTGCAGCGCGCTCACCCGTCACCCACCCACTCACTCACTCGGGAAGCTTGTGTCCGATGTGAGAAGGGAGATCGCCTCTCTCTGCGTGCACACACTCGGTGGTGGTGGGCACGGGCCTCACGTATCGCGTCGCTGTTGGGGAACGCCGACTCGTGCGTGATGTTGCGCGGCCCGTCAGAGGTTACTTGGAGATTCTTCGTTTCTCTTTTCGGTGCGCAATGACGCAAATGATGTCTCCTCGCTCGCCCCCTTGCTGAACACTCACGCCTCGGCCGCGTATTGGGGTGGGCGGGGGGGGGCAACGTTAATTCTATACTCTTTGGTTTTTTCGGTAAAGTCACGTAGGTACAAAGAGAAAATAAATTAAATCACGACGTATCGGAAGCAACACAAGCAACCAGGTGTTGACTGCTCCACCTGATGACGGTTGCTTGTGTTGCTTCCGAAAGCAACCTACGTGACTTTACAGATAAAACCAAAGAGTATGGACCCTTGCAGTCACGAAAACTTCAAATCTAGAATTAATGTTAATTCTGTTCACCAAACGAGTGACGATAAATTGTTGAACGAAGCCTTTGGTGGGTTTATTTATTTCACTCGATGATAACCACAACAACAACAACAAAAAACATCGGGCGTGCCGATGACTTCGATTACCACCAAATGCGAATACATGGCTGACTACGACGAGACGAGATGAACTCGTCTGAATGAAGACTCAGGCTGAATGTTATTTAGTGACGCTGAGAGAGACAACAATACACAGAGGAAGACGAACCGTGTCTCGCTGACGGTGCAGTCTATGTACATGTAGTGATGTAAATGGTGCCACTCGGGCGTTCGCGCCAGCTCCTGTTACAGCAGTGCAACTGTGCGTCTTGAGCATCTCTAGGGGACATAGTCCTGGTGATGGCCTGAGAGAGAGAGAGGGGGCAAGCGAGGACGTGGCAGCCTGAGTAGGGCAAGTGATGCTCGGTCGAGATTCTTCGGGAAAGGTCTCGAAGGGAGTGTTCTTGGCTCGTTTGTGGAATCAAGCCTGGGCCCCGCATCTCGTCGTCTCTGGCTCTACGTCTCGAGTGAACTCGCTACTCACATCGTGAGCCACATCACCTACTATAGAACCCGAGTTACGTTCAGTGTTACCCGCTAGGGAAGTTGTTAAATAAAAGTGTTGCCTCTCAGTCCAGAGTGTGTGCCACCGTGGTGATCAACACTGCACATATGAAAAGATTTACCGAGTTCGCTGATTGGCCGAGCTGGGATGGAAACGCGTGTGGCGTTCTTAATACACACGCACATTTAACAACGAAGAGTGTCTGACTACATTGTTCAATGCCTTAGTCGACGAGACGAGGAGAATGATTTACGTGAAATCCACAGACCGTGCCTTGACTCAAGAGTCGGACTAAACAAAATTTCACAAAAACAAAAGCTCACCACAACAGTAGCGCGGGTCACGTTCTGTGCGGCGCGAGTGTGAATCATCCTCAATGAAACACGAAGACATCGGAATAAACATCTCACTCCAGACCCAAACAACATCGCACCTCGTGTGCCTTGGACATTCATCCTCGAAGACAGCGGTGTAACCATCAACGGCAGCAGAACATCTACAGGAGATGTCCTTCATAAATGGGAAAAAATAACGAACAAGCAACATATTCTTGGTTCTGTCGGTAAAGTCACGTAGAAGGGAAATAATAAAATAATAAAATATAAAACAATACAAAATATAAAGAAAATGTTACATTTTAAAATAAACATTTTCTTGCTGTGGATTTCACACCTGATGATGATTGCTTGTGTTGCAGTCGAAACGTCGTGAGAATTTTATTGTTCAATATTTTTATTATTTTATTATTTCCCTTCTACGTGATGACTTTACCGAAATAACCAAGAATATGAATCCCTGCAGTCACGAAAGCTTTAAGTCGGAACAAGCAACAGTACTACGGTGCGATTGTGGCCACGAACCCCAAATTATGGACCAAATAGTAAACCACTCCTTGGAGTTTGTGCTCCTTCAAGGGAGGAGGAATAGCAAAACTACACGAACTAGCTCTCTACTGGAGCGCACCTCGACATTGGCATTTAGCGCCTGGACACATTTCTGCCATACGCAAGAATAGATTCTAGAATTAAAACATCCGTTGCTCTCTCGGCTTCTTTGCGGATCTGCGTTCCGTGATGGGGGACCTCGCCAGAGCTACAAACCGGCACAAACAGAATATCATCATCATCTGCCCGATAGTGAATAAACATGACCGTGGTGGCAGCAGCAGCAGCACACGTGCAGCAGCAGCAGAAGAAGAAGACGGTTACAGATTTTTTTAATAGCTTTTAAAGTCACGGACTTGCTCAGTAATGGTCTCGCACACGCGGCGAACGCTGACGGACGCGTGCTGCTGCTGCTGCTGCTGCACGAGACGTGAATTGTGGAGCGGCTCCGGCCACACAGCCCCTGGGAGCTACCCCGAACAGAAGGAGGAGGAGGACATCGCACTGCGAGATCGTATTTCCACCGGCGCTAGAAAGCGCGCCACCGCAGAGACGGACTGCCCTTCATTTCCTCCCCTCCCCCCACCACCACCTTCCTCTGTGCGATCTCGCCAGAGTCGGACCTTCAACCATTTACCGAACTCGTCCCTTCTTCCCCTGCTGCGCGTCCCAGCGTCTGCGCGCTAAAGGAGGACGCCTAGGGGATAACGCGTGGCGCGGAACAATTTGACTCGGGCTAAATGGGGGGCACTGCGAGTGCGTGCACGTGATGGGAGGGGGAGCGGTGGGGGAGCGGTTAGCGCGGTGCGCTACGAACCCCGGGACCCGAGTGCGATTTCCCGGTTATGACCACCAACACCATCGGTCCTGGGCCTCCCCTGGGTCGACTCAGTCTCAAATGAGTACCTGGCGTGACGTGTAAGCATCGTCAATAGGGAGACAAAGGCGGCCGGGCGTGGTGTTGGCCACCCACCCCCTCGTGTGCCGTGCCGGCCTTCATATGTGCTCGCTAACAGCACTTGCACCAAAAGTCTGTTAAGGCTACACGGGGGATCTTTGGCTTTGTTGGCTGCGTTGCCTGCGTATACATCAGCCAGTAATGCGCTTCTGGGACATAATCAGACAGGAAAGACAAATGATGATTGAT